ACTCAGCCCCACATCCTACACTGTTCATCTGCCTGTAGCCATACCTGTGGACCATGTCATAACTCTTCCTAACAATGGTCCAGATAGTCAGCAACAAGCATATTTATACTCATTATTGTTGTTTAGAAGTCTTGATAAAGATCTGACTTTTTGACAAGTGTGAGATTCTGTAAAATTCCAAATTGTAGCTGTCAAGATACCTGAAAGTTTTCAGTCTTTGACTGCCAGAATAATACTCTGGTAATATTTTTATATTTTTCTTACTTCCTTCCCTCCCTCCTTTCCCAGATCACTCAGGAAGAATACAGAACTCAAAGACGTTGCTAAGGGCACGTGGGTGGCTCAGTCAGTTAAGCATCTGACTCTTGACTTTGGCTCAGGTCATGATCTCTTGGTTCATGAGTTCAAGCTTCACATCGGGCTCTGCCGTGACAGTGCAGAACCTTCTTGGGATTCTGTCTCCCTCTCTCTCTGGCCCCTCCCCAGCACACTCTCTCTCTCTCTCTCTCAAAGTAAATAAAAATAAACTTTAAAAATAAAATAAAATTTTTAAAAGGTTGCTGAAATTACTATTTTGATACACTAAATAACACATTTTACTTAATCCTTTGGATTTTTTTTTAGAAACAACTCAGATTATTGGCATGAGTGCAACACTGAACAATGTTGAAGACCTTCAAGAATTCCTTCAAGCAGAATATTACACCAGTCAGTTTAGACCAGTATGTACCTAAGGTTTGCGCTGTATGGATTTGTTTTATATCATCTTACTCAGAAAGAAAAGTAGCTGGGGCGCCTGGGTGGCTCAGTCGGTTAAGCATATGACTTTGGCTCACATGATCTCACAATTTGTGAGTTCGAGCCCCACTTTGGGTGAGCTGGATCCACACTCTCTCTCCCTCTCTCTCTCCATCTCTCCTCTCTTTGCACCTCATGGGATTTTCTCTGTCTCTCTCTCTGCCCCTTCCTCACTCATGCATGTGTGTGTGTGCCCTCTCCTTCTCTCTCACAGAAATAAATAAATAAATAAATAAATAAATCATTTAAAAGAAGAAAAGTAGCTAACATACCTTATAAAAAATACCATAGAGTAGGTATACCATAGAAGGGATATAATTCCAGTCACCATAGCTGCATGCTAATAAGAGTTTGTGTATAAAGAACATAAACTCCATGGGGTCAGGATCTTAGCTTGGGTCACTTGCGTGTCTGTAGCACCTCAACAATACTTGGCTTATGGGCCTTCAATGAATATTTATTGAATGAAATTTTCCAGATACATTCTATTTTTCTACTTCTTCTTAAAAATTCTTTCATTTGCTCAGAATTTAGTCATTCATATTTTGAGTCATTGGCATATAAAAGCATTTAACTTAAAAGTTAAAATATTTTCATATATTTATGCATTGGTAGTTACAATGCTTTTTTAATAAGCTAAGACTTCATGTGGATTTAAATTTAAACTCCCTAATAATGGTATTCCCAAAAGACTTAAAAAAGTAAATATATTTCTTAATTATCTGAAAGTAGCTTATAGTGAACATCTGCTCTGTCTGCAGTACCCATGTGCATATTCAGTGTCTAAATAGCTTTTCAGAAAATAGTTATTGAGAATCGCCAACTTTAATTTTAAAATTTGATGTTTTTACATTTGCATCAAAGAGGAGAATTTTCGAGACACTTGGCTGACCTTAATAGTCAAATTAGACACTCTTCTTTTAAAAATGCAATGAACTGTATTCATAAACTTCTTTTGTCTACAAATACTTAAATTAAAGAGAATATCGTGGTATGTAGAATTAAAACTGATGACTGATGAGACAGAAAATTTTAGATCTTGAGGAATAACACAAATAACTCCTTAATAAAAGAGTGTGAACATTGGCTTATTTATACTTCTTGTGACAAATAACAGAAGTGTCTGGTTTCCTTTTAGTGGCTATTCAATTCAGAAGTATTTCTTTAAGGGTATTAATCCCTACTTTGATTGAAAGGGAAAAGAGACTCAAAGAAATGGTAAAGAAAAAACTTTTAAATTGAAGCATGTTTTGCATACCTTAGAAAAGCGACAGTTTTTCTATAGCTGTCCTTTTTTACAACATACTTCACAAAATTTTAAACTTGGAAAGAGGAATTTGTATGTGGTATTAATTGCAAATGTCTTTTTAATGCAAGGTTGAATTAAAAGAATATTTGAAAATAAATGATGCGATATATGAGGTTGACAGCAAAGCTGAGAATGGCATGACTTTTTCACGTCTACTGAATTATAAGGTAACATTTTAATATCCCTTGAACACGAGGTTCCCAAGCTTTGTGCCTAGGTGCCCTGGGGCACCACATAAGATTCACATGGGTGCCGTAGGATAGTTTAGATTTTTGAGAGAAACAGTGGATGCTTGACATCTGTTGGACACCATACAAACTACCACTTTGAGGTAGTTTCCAGTTTTAACATTAGATCACACTGTATTCCTTTCTATGATATTATATCTTAGTGAAGTTTTTTTTTGTTTGTTTTTTCTGGTTACTGTAAACAAATACTGTGTGACAGTCAACGTGGGACAGAAAAAAGAGTAGCCAGGTCCAATCTGATTCTAAGATTTGGAAGACTATGGGGTGCTCAGTTGTGCGCACATCCTGTTCGTTAGTTATTATGGTTAAAAATGAAATAACAGTATCTTTTTCACTCAACTGATGTGTATTATTTATTCAAATGGCTACGAAATTGTGAGGAAATATGTACTTCAGTTGTTTGCACCTAAATACCTAATAAACAAAACTGTTAGGTATTTCTTTTGGCCCTGGGGCTCCATGAACCAAGAAAATCTGGAGACCTCTCCCTTAAATGTTTATTCATTCAGTAACAAGCACAAAACAAGAAGAAACTTTTGTGGGCTATGTAGTTCAGATATTGTATATAAAATGTTAATGTCTACTATGTTAATGTTTTGTGACTTATGTAAAGTATATTAAAAAGAGAAGAAAGGGATTTTACAATAGTTTAGAATTCCATAAAGGTATATTCTAAATCTGTATCTTAGTTTTTAATAAAGTTGAAGGAAGTGAGATTTTTAAATAATTTTATATTTTTCTCTATGTTGAATTCCTTATGTCTACTTGATGAGTACATTTTTTATTTCTGAAAATATATCCTGTAATGTGATTGAATCTGTGTTTTTGAAAACTGTTAGTGAAAGGCATATCTTATCTATATGGTCCTTTGATCATTATTAGGCTCAATCTGTGTTTCTCTCTGTGGACTTTTTGTTTTGCTCCAGTGGAGCTGAACATGCAGTGGGGTTATTAAAACATTTACTATTTTCATTTCTGTAATTTAAAACTAAATATGCCTAACAAAGCCCTAATAACCTAAAAGTGGGACTTAACGTTTTAAAATTTAATCTGGGTCTCTTCTTTTCTTTTAAAGGATCAGATTTATTAAATGAGAACTTCACAATTAAGGATGGTTTACTTACCTTTCAAAGCACACTGGTAAAATGACAGGTTTTCATGGTTGCTAACTACCTTGTTCCTGCATCTTGTTGTACAGTATTCTGATACTCTGAAAAAGATGGATCCTGATCATTTGGTAGCATTGGTGACAGAAGTTATTCCCAATTATTCCTGCTTAGTTTTTTGTCCCACTAAGAAGAACTGTGAAAACGTAGCAGAAATGATATGCAAATTTTTAAGCAAGTATGTTAATCTTTAAAAAATATTCTGTTTTATTTTATCATGATTTACATGCTATATATTCTGTTCATTCAACAAGCACTGGTTATTTCTTGTAGAACATCATAACTACAGTCGATTTTAAAGGTCCTAGCCTTGAAGAAAGTTTAACTGTGAGATTCGTATATGTGAAATAGGCAAAGAATTCTAAGGTTACATGGAAGAGAATGCTGACTGATAAAATGGTTTTAGATCAATGATTCTCAACCTTGACTGCAAATGCATCCTCTCAAGGGCTTTTAAAAATCTCAGTGCCCAGGTTACATCCCAGAAAATCAGAATCTCTGCAGGTGGGGCCCAGGTATCAGGATTTTGTAAAACTTTCCAGGCAGGTTCAACCTGCAGCAAGTTCACCCACTGGCTATTGTAGTCAGAGGCCCAGGCACTAATCACTGTGGATATGAATCATATCTTCAACTTAACCTTCTCTTTAATTAAATACTGTTGCCTTAGTTTTCTTAGTAAACTTTACACTAAAGTAAATAAATTTGAATTTGAATTGAATTTCTTAAGTAATTAAGAAATTTATTAGCTTGTAACTTTATAGTATTTTAATATTGGCTCTTTTATACTCATAGCAATGGGTATAAAGTGACTTTAAGTATGAACAATTCAGTTTTTTTCTGTATCTTTGTCCCATGTGTAGTTTTATCGTATTTTTCAGACTTCTTTTTTGCCCCTTAGCCAGTGCTGTATCACCATTCATAGATAGTTATGGATTCTAATTCAGCCCTCACCTCCCCATCCAGTCCTACTGTCATGGATTGGTCTAATATAGTTAATTTACTGACCAGCACAATGATGTAGATGTTTAGGATAAAGTCAAGGAGTTTCCCATTTTGGTAACTAATAGTCTTCCTTTACAATGATGATGTTGATTATAAAAACCTAAAGAAATTAAATTATCATTGAGGTAGTCTCAGTAAATCATTTGTTTTCATAGAATAAGGGAATATAGCACCAGCTAAGCGATATGGAAATTTATTAGAGACTGACATTTCCTGGGAGACATGAGACTTACTAATTTTACCCTTGATTTATTTTGCTTTTGGTGATAATAGGTTTTTTGGGACATAAATGTTGGTGTTTAACACTGAAGCACTTAAAAATTTGGTTTTCTAGAATCCTTAGTTAATGAATTATAGTAGATACTTGATACTTTCTAAAAGAGATAGGACTTAACATCGTCTGAAAGAAAATTTCCTCTAAAATATATTTTGCATATTACTTGCTGCTTTCATAAGCTGAATGTTCTGAGTATAGTTCAGTACCCCTTTTTGTGGCTCTTGATTAAAAAATGGTGAATCATGTTTTGAGCATACTTTCTTTATTCTGTAATTTATATGTAGATAAAGTAAATCTAGAGCTAAATGGGTTCTAAATGAGTATCTTTAAAACATGATTTCTTGAGGGGTGTCTGGATGGCTCAGTCCATTAAGCGTGTGACTTCAGCTCAGGTTATGATCTTACAGTTCATGAGTTCAAGCCCTGCATCAGGCTCTGTGCTGACTGACCTCTGCCTCTCTCTCTCTCTCTCTCTCTCTGCTCCTCCCCAGCTTGCAACCTCCCTCTCTCAAACATAAATAAACATTGAAAAAAAAAACTTTTTAAAAAATGTGATTTCTTGAGAGTCCTGTGATATCCACTTGTATCTTAATTATGTTCCTCCTTATCATAAGTGTCATGGGAAACTGGTGTAATGAAATCCCCTGGGCAGTAGAATCTGGCTCTATGTCTGTTTAAAATAATAGGTACTCTTAGATGCAGAGACATTGTGGGATATTATTGAAGCTTCTAAAATGCTAGTGTTTAGACCATTGGTGTTTTACATAAGTACATATGATTTGATAACAAATATGTTTCCATCTTCACAGAAGCAAATGACTTAAAATTTCTTTAAAAAGCCAATAAAAATGTATGTTCTAATGAAAAAACTAATTGTAACATCTACAGCAAGTGTCTTAACCTACCTTCATAGGCAATACAGGAATGAACTTCAGCAAGTCCATGAACTTATAAGCAAAGTGTTATGTTTGATGTTTATTTTATGTTTCTTTTCCTTAGTCTTAATCATATTTTCATAGGACTCTGTGATATACAAAAAGATTGAGAGTGGCTCATAATTGATGAACTCAGAATCAGAATTCTAAGAACATCTTATGTACTTCTATTAATGAAAGCAATATCTTTTTTAATAAAGAACTTTTACACGCATCTACTAAAGTTAAACCAGTAGGCACTTTGTTCCCGTAAGATCAAGGGTTCATATTTCTAACAGATCGTTTTTCCTAGGGAGTATCTGAAACACAGGGAGGAAGAAAAACATAAGGTGATTAAAAACTTGAAGAATGTCAGCAGTGGCAACTTGTGTCCTGTTTTAAAGCGCACCATCCCTTTTGGGGTTGCTTATCACCACAGTGGTTTAACAAGTGATGAAAGGAAACTCTTGGAAGAGGCCTATTCCACAGGAGTTCTGTGCCTTTTTACCTGCACATCCACCCTCGCAGCAGGCGTTAATCTACCAGCTCGAAGGTAAGACACACGGAAACTATTGGCCGGGCTTGAAACTTTTTAATTCTTAGCTTGCCAGGAGTTCTGTTGTTTTGTTCTTTCTCGGTAGTGGGTGAGAATTTATCAAATTGTTTTTTCTCATTTGCTGAGTTAATTTCCTTTATTTTGATGAAAAATAACTTTAGTAGATTTCCTGGTATTAGAATTCCTTTCTTTGGTGCTCTCCCTATCTGGTTTTGACATCAAGGTTTATTTTTTTAGTTGTAAACAATTGGCAAGCTTTCTACCATTTTTATGATCTGAAAGAGTGTATTTAACATAGGGATTTCGTTGACAGCTTAGAGAACTCATCCATAAAGACTTCTGAGTCTAGTATCTTTTTAGAGTAAGTCTTTGATTATCTTTTCAGTTACTACCAAAGCTATAGGCCTGTATAATTGATTTATGATCTTTATAATTTGTGACTTTAAACTTTGTGACATTTTTTCAAATACAGGTATTTCCTGTTGGGTATGCAGTTTTGGACATCTCCATGAGACCACAGTTAATCTTGTTACCAGCTCCTCTGTTTTCTATTTGTGATTCTTTGATCAGTTTGTTTTCAGAGAGCTGTGTTAGTCTCCCACTGTTATTACAGAGTTGTCAATTTCTCCTTTTTGCATTGCTAGAAGTTTTTACTTTGTATTTCAAAACTCTTGAAGTATACAAAGATTTATTTCAAATATCTTATTGTTGAATCATACCTTTTATCAATATAATAGGTCCTTGTTTTTCTCATTGAGTGATTTTACTTTGAACACTAGGACTACATTTGAACACTAGGACTACATTTTCTTTGCCGAGTTTATCTTTTTCCATTCTTTTATTTTCAACCTCTGTCACTGATTAAATTTTCCTTTTTTCAGATAATTGGAGAATTAAAATGAAATTATATATCCTATTTCTCTTATTTCCAGTTGTTACTCTTAAAATTTTAAGTTATAATCAAACATGCTTTTCTGCCATTTTAGATTTAATCAAGAACTTTGTCCTCTCCTGAAGATAACAAGTCTTAGCATTTGTATATTCTCCTATACTGCCTCATGTATGTTGCAGCTTCCTAAAGTTTTAGTTTCAGATTTTTAATTTTCTTTCATCTTATAGTCCATAATTATTCAAACTATCCTATGAATTATACTTGTTTTTTGTTTACCACTACCTCATATCTCACATATTCCTTCTGTGGTTTACTTTTAATTTTGCCATCCTTGAGTAGTTAATTTTTTTTTGTTTATTTATTTTGAGTGAGAGAGAGAGTTCAGGGGAGGGGCAGAGAGAGAGGGAGATAGAGAATCCCAAGCAGGCTCCACGCTGTCAGTGCTGGGCCCAAAGTGGGGCTCAATCTCACTACCATGATTTTATGACCTGAGCTGAAATCAAGAGCCTGATGCTTAACCTGCTGAGCCACCTAGGTGCCCTGAGTAATATTTTTTTTTAATGTTTATTTATTTTTGGGAGAGAGAGAGAGCACATCCACATGCACACACGTGAGTTAGGGAGGAGTAGAGAGATAGGGAAACACAGAATCCAAAGCAGGCTTCAAACTCTGAGCTGTCAGCACACTGCCTGACGCAGGGGCTCAAACTCATGAACCACGAGATTGTGACCTGAGCCGAAGTCGGATGCTTAACTGACTGAGTCACCCAGGCACCTCCTGAGTAATTTTTCTTTTTTCTTTCTTTCTTTCTTTCTTTCTTTCTTTCTTTCTTTCTTTCTTTCTTTTTTGTCTTTTACTTTCATTCTTTTATTTTTCCTTACAGGCAGACTTCTTATCTTCTTCGTTTTTTAATTTTATTTTTTAAATTTACATCCAAATTAGTTAGCATATAGTGCAACCATGATTTCAGGAGTAGATTCCCTAATGCCCCTCACCCATGTAGCCCATCGCCCGTCCCACAACCCCTCCAGTAACCCTCTGTTTGTTCTCCATACTTGATAGTCTCTTATGTTTTGTCCCCCTCTATGTTTTTACATTATTTTTGCTCCCCTTCCCTTATGTTCATCTGCCCTGTGTCTTAAAGTCCTCATATGAGTGAAGTCATAGGATATTTGTCTTTCTCTGACTGCTGAGCAATTATTTTTTAAATGCTAGATTGGGGGGTAGAAATTTTTGAGTCTTTTTATAGCTGAAGGTGTTTTTATTTTAGCTTCACACTTGAACATCTTGCTAGGAAAAGAATTCTAGTTTCAATTTTTTCCCTTTGGGGACTTTGTAGTATTGTTCCATGTCTTTTAGGAGCCACTGTTGCCCATTTTTGTTTTTGCATAGGTTTGTTTTTTCCTCTCCAGAAACTTAGATTTTTCTCTGTTACCTTAAAATTTCATCATAGTGTATAATTATAATTGCAGCTATTATACTCCCTCCCCTGTGTCATAACAGCTTTACATGCATTGACTTAATAGAGCTTCATGACAACTCTGTGAAGAAGGTTATATTTTATTGTCCACATTTTATGGAACAGAAAACTGAGACACTGAACAATTAAATAATGTACCCAACTTCATGCCAACAAATGAGTTTCAAAAACCAAGATTTGAAACCCTGGAAATTTAATTCTTAATCCCAACCATCCCAGTTTAGCTACTTTTTATTCATAGGTCTTAGCACTTGGGAAAATGCTTTCAGTCTAAAGTTTTATGCCTTTTATGCCTCCGGCACCTGGTGGCTCAGTCATTAAGCATCTGACTTTGACTCAGGTCATGATCTCAGAGTTGGTGAGTTCGAGTCCCACATCAGGTGAGCTCATGCCCTGCTTTGGGTGAGCATGCGTGCTGCATCAGGTGAGCATGAGCCCCACTTCAAATTAAAAAAAAAAAAAAAAAAAACAGAAACAGGAGCCCCGGGTGAGCCCCGCTTCTCTCTCTCTCTCTCTTTCTCTCTCTCTCTCTTTCTCTCTGCCTCTCGTGGGATTCTCTCTCTCTCTCTGCCCCTGACTCACTTGCACCCTCTCCCCCCCTTCCCCCCCAAAAAAGTTTTATGCCTTCATCTTACTTTTTGTTTGGCTTTTTCTTTTTTTTCCATTATCTCTGTTCTCTGTTTTTGTAACTTCCCTTGGACAGGGTTGAAGCCTGGTAGATTGGGCTTTCAAATCTCTCAAGTTTTCTTACACAGTTTTCAGTCTGTATGAGCTATGTGATTTCTTCAACTTTACTTCTATGTGACAAGATCAGTTTTTTATTGTATCCCATTAACTGTGTTCATTCATTATTAAGTCCGTCTTTGAATTTTTTAATGAATTTAAAATTGTTTCTTAATTTCCAAGAACTATCTTCTCTTATTGCTCTTCATTTATAATAGTCTGTTCTCATATTGTGAATATAATACCCTCTAGAATTTTCTGTGAATACTGATCAGAATTTTTAAGAATTCTTTCTGTTCCCTGTTTCTGCATATTCTTGTCTTTCTTTTATGTCCTTAGTTTTCTTCAAGTGTTTATAATCTTGGCTGTCCATAGAGATTTATAAATAAAAGAGTAGGTTGGTTAGTAGATAAATGACATGTTTCCTCTCACTTTTGAGCAGGAAAACTAGCTACAGACTTTTATATACATGAGCAGGATTGAAAGTACCATGTTTGTACATCAAAAACGGTTGAAACTTGTAATTTTATATAGTTGACAGTAATATAAATATATGCATACATACATAAGCAGGAATATGTTCATAGTGCATGGTCAGATTTTTCATTTATGAAGTATAGAATCAAAAATCTTTGGAGACTGTTGTTCTAGTGACAATCATAAGCTTTGTAGCTAGGCCAACATGTTCAGACCATAGTTCTGGTAATTACTAGTTTTGTGGGTTGAGGTAATCCACTTAGCTTGTCTGTGCTTCAGTTAGTCCCTTTGTAAAAAAATAAGATAAAATAAAATAATAAAGAATATTATTACCAAGAATTTTGTAAGAATTACTGATAATGTATATAAAGAATCTAGGACATCACAGGTTCTTGGTAAATAGTAGTCACTTATTATTTTGAGTTAACATGTCATTAAATTTAATACCAGATAAATAATACAGAATTTAAAAGATAGATGCTATTATCATAGATGTAGTATCACTTTTAATTAATATTATCAATTCCATAGAGTTATTTTAAGAGCTCCCTATGTTGCCAAGGAGTTTTTAAAGAGGAACCAATATAAACAGATGATTGGCCGAGCTGGCCGTGCTGGGATAGATTCTATTGGGGAGAGTATCCTTATACTGCAAGAAAAAGACAAGCAACAGGTAATAATCAATCCAGTTGGTGGTTAATCATTTTGTCTCATTTTGGTCTTTGGTTGTAGCTCTTTTATGATATATATCATCCTTTAAAAATTTATTAATTTTATTAATATTTATAATATTAAATATTATATAAAATATTAATATATTATAAAATATTAAAATTTATTAATATTTATTTAAATAGTGTTTCTTTCTCCTCTCTGATTAAGAACTAGAACAAGTAGTTTGAATACTTTTGTATTTCAGGCAAGCAATAAAAAATATTTTCCCTATTTATCTTTCTTCCATTTTCATGAAAACACCTGCTAAATTCTTATTTGTTTGTTTTTATGTCTTTAAATTCCCCCTGCTTCTACAAGATCTATGCAAAATAGAAAATTTTATATAGAACACTTTATTTTTTTATAATAACACAAAACATAATATTGCTTTAACTTTTGTAGGTATTGGAGTTAATAAGCAGACCATTGGAAAACTGTTATAGCCATCTTGTTCAAGAATTCACTAAGGGAATCCAAACTTTGTTTCTCTCTTTAATTGGTTTGAAGGTATTTTTCAATATTTTTAAATCTTATTACTGTTATGTGAGATAATAGAGATTTAAAAGTTATGAGAACTGTAAAGTAGAAAAAAATGCTAACCTCTAATCTAATGTGGAGAAGAACAGCCTGACATGCTAAATCTGAATCTAGATTTATATGTGCATTTTTAATGCTTTGAGTTGTATGAAATATGAAAAATCAACAAATCATAACTGGGCATCATTACAAGTGAGAGACTTTTTGGAGACTCTGGGGATTATAAGAAGCTGTAAAGACATGGGTCCTGATGTGGGGTAATCCATCATCTCTACCTTTGTGAGGAATAAGGTTCACTTGTTGTCCTGTGATCATTCTAGGATATTATAAACATTTGTGAGATCAGTATAGCCTTTATCAGACAACAAATTTAAAAACAAAAGGCACACTAGGAAAACACTCCTTTTCTTAGAGATTAGCTCTCTTTTAGGGTTACTCTTGAGTTAAAATTCTTTTTTAGGGTTATTCGTAAGTAAATTTTAACTTTGTGTCTAAGGGCACATGGCCATAAAGAGGCAAAGCCAGAGTTTGAATTCAGCTTTGTTCAACTACAAAACCAGTGGTCTTAACCTATCATGCAGTATATCTTTATTAGCCCAAACAGTTTGGGTGAACACACAAAAGATAATTAATAAAAAAAAAATACCATACATTTTGATTACCTTATAGATGAATAGTGGAATATTATAATATCCCTTAGCAGTTCAGAATAGTGAAAGGTTATAAGGAAGAAAGGAAATCAGTGCTAGGTAGTGAAGGAGATAGAAGTTGTCAGGGCACCTAGGTGGCTCAGTTGGCTAAGCATCCAACTCTTAATTTTAGTTCAGATCATGATCTCACAGTCCTGAGATTGAGCCCCACAAGCCCCACAAACCCCACATCAAGCTCCACATTGACCATGGAGCCTGCTTAAGACTTTCTCCCTTTCTCCTCTCCCTCTCTCTGCTCCTCCCCTGCTCGCATGCTCTCTCTCTCAAAAAAAAAGAAGTTGTAGAAGTTGTAGATAAGCAGAGGGAAAGAATAAGCCATTCCAGGTACTTAACATAGAATGAATGATGAGAAAGCTAAAGATGATGTGGGGTATCAGTCAACAGACTAGATTCTGTAGCTCTAGAGAAGGCCTACAGATCCTGAAGAGGTGAAGGTTGGGTGGGAAAAGTTGGGCCAGATTGTGTGCTATAAATTGGGGAAGATAGGAGAGCATGCTTAAATAGTAGCCTAAAGAGTTGTGACACTGTCACATATCAGTGGAGCGTTAGTAAAGTGTGGTGGTTGAGAGCAGGAGCTCTGATATCACACATACCTGTGTCCCAGTCCCAACTCTGTCTCTTATTACCCTGGGTAAGGTATTAGCTCTCTCGTAAACCTCGCTCAGTTGCCTTATCTGTAAAATGGGGATAATAGCATGCAGAAGTATTGCAAGACTTGTTTAAAAGTAATTGTAGTAATCCATGTATAATGTAATAAATCCTTACAATAGGGAGGTTGCTAAGGAATTAGTAAAGGAGGAAGAGATCATAAAGATCATCAAGTCTTATTCCATTTATATATTAGATAAGGTAACAGACTCAGAAAACTGGTGAGTAGTCTAAGATCATTCAGTGAATTATGGTTTAGATGGGACTATAATTTAGTTTCCTGCCATGCTGGCCTGTACTCTTTCCAATGTACCATTGTGTGTGTGTGTGTGTGTGTGTGTGTGTGTGTGAAATATTTCTCAAGTGCATGGGAAATATTTCACCAATGTAGACCATATTCTGAGATCATAGACAAGTCTCAATACATTTAAAAGGATTGAAATCCAATATAGTATTGTGTCTAATGAAAGCAATTATAGTATACCAGCAATAATAGAAGGATAACAGGGAATTTCCTAAATATTTGGAGATTAAATAGCACACTTGACCAGTGGTCAAAGTAGAAATTCCAAAGGAAATTAGAAAATATTTACGATGGAATGAAAATGGAAACAGATATACCAAAATTAGTGGCATGAAGCCAAAGAAGTGCTGAAAAGGACATTTATAACTTTAGATGCTTATTAGAATATAAGAAAAATCTAAATTCAGGGTCTACGTTTTACTTTAGGAACGTGGGGGGAAAAAAGCCCAAGTAGAAAGAAGGAAATAATTAGTAAAAGCAAAAATGAAATAAAAAATAGACAAACTGGAGAATAAAAATAATGAAAACACAAGCTAGCTCTCTGAAACGATCAGTAAGATTATTGACTGATTTGATAACAGAGGGAAAAGAGAGAACACATAAATTACCAATATCAGTAATGAAAGGAGGGTCATCACTAAAGATCCTAGAGATATTAAAAGGATAGTAATGAATAATCCTGAAATAATTATATCCTTGAATGCTGAAAAATGAGTTCAATTATTTAAATGAAATGGGAAAATTCTTGGAAGACACGATTTTTGCAATTGACTGAAGTAGCAGCAGAAAGTCTAAATAGTCCTATATCTATTAAAGAAATTGAATTTACAACTTAAAACTTACCACAAAGAAAATTCCAGGCTCAACTGACTTCACTGGTAAACTCTATCAAACATTTAAGGAAGAAATAATACCAATCATACACATATTCTTCCTTTGTAGAGGAAGAGGGAACACTGCTCATCTCATCTTTTGAGATCAGCATTATCCTGATACCAAAACCAGACAAAGATATTACAAGAAGAGAAAACTACATATTTATAGTAAAAATAGATAATAAAAATCCTTATCAAAGTATTAGTAATACAGCAACACAATCAGAGTTTATTCCAGTATTGCAAAGTTGGTTTAACATTCAAAATTCAATGTTATTATTTATTTGACAGAATTCAACACCCACTCATGATAAAAACTCAGCAAATTAGAAGAGAACATCATCAACTCAATAAAAGGTGTTTATTTAAAAACAAAACAACAACAACAACAAAAAACCACTGCTGGTAACATCACACTTAATGGTGAAAGACTACATGTTTTTCCCTCTAAGATCAGAAAAGAAAAAAAAAGGTCTACTTTCACACTGCTTTTCAGGATATATCAGAAATCATAGCCAGTACAAGACAGAAGAAAAACAAGGGTACGTAGATTAGAAAGCAAGAAGTAAAACTGTCTTATTTGCTGATCGTAGGTTCAAGAAAAACCCAAAGGAATGTACAAAAAAAGCTAGAGTGTAATCAGCAGTGTCATAGGATACAAAGTCAGTGTACAAAACTCAATCGTATCTGTATACTCACTACAAATAATTGGAAAAACAACTCCATTTACAATAGCATCCAAAACATGCAACACTTAGGGATAAATTTAACTACTGTGTGTGAGACCTATATACTCAAAACTGTAAAACTGCTGAGAGAAATTAAACAAGACCTAAGTAAATAGAGAGAGGTACCATATTCAAGAATTGGAATTTTCAGTTTTGATCAGATGTTACATCCCAAAGTCTATAAATTTAGTGCAATCCCATTCAAAATCTCAGCAAGCTTGTTTGTGGAAATTGAAGACTGATAGAATTTATTTGGGAATGCAAGGAGTGGAATAGCCAAAATTTAATTTTGTGAAAAAACAAGTGTTCATACTACTTCAAGATTTACTATAAAGCTTCAGTAATCAAGACAGTGTGATATTGGTGCAAGGATCATATAGAACAATAGACTAGGAAGTCCAGAATTAGGCCCACACATATATGATCAATTTTTTTTTTTAAGTAATCTCTATACCCAACTGGGGCTTGAACTCAGGACCTCAAGATCAAAAGTCGATGCTCTACCAATGGAGCCAGCCAGGCATTCCTCATATATGATCAGTTTTTAACAAAAGGTGCCAAGATATTTAAATGGACAAAGGATAGTTTTTTTTTTCAACAAATGGTGCTGTACCGACAAGATATCTGCATAGAACAACAACAACAAAATAACCTTTACTCTTACCTCACTCTAATTTTGTCCAAAATAATGAACTCAAAGTGGATCATAGACCTAAATAAAAGCTAAAATATAACTCCTAGAAGAACATATAGGAGTAAATTGTTTGTTTGTTACCTTGGGTTAAGATTTCTTACGTGGAAACAAAAAACATAAACCATGAAGAGAAAAAAATGAATGAAATAGACTTCATCATAATTTTTTAAATTATCTTCAAAAGACACTGCTAAAAAATGAAAAGCATGGAGGAAATATTCATAATACATACCCTGACAAATATGTATATGAGTTAGGACTCAGCAAAAAGCAGTGAAATTGGGAGGGAGTTGGGACTTCACTTAAGACAAGCACACTCAGGTAACAGGGAGACTGGGAGACCTGACTTGGCCACAAGGGTGTGGTTTTATGGGCCTGGCAAAGCAAGATCTACCGGGAACAACAGTGGCATTTAAATTCTGTTTTAACAGCTGGAGTACAGCAGCAAGAAGTCCAGGCAGCAGTTGGTTCAGGAGACTAGCAGGTAGGCGGCTGTTGTTCCACTCCTGCCCATAAGAGGCAGAAATCAAGAAACTGGACCCAGTCTTGAGAGGGACAGGTCATCAGGGGTCCTCTTACACCTTGGGGAAGGGGTTCACAACAGGGCTCCAGTTGTGAAAGAAGGCAGAGAACAGGAAAACCTTTAGAGTTGGAATTGAAGCAGAAATCAAGTCCTCTGGACAGGAACAACCAGGTAGAAGAGGGGTGAGAGGCAAGAAGGGCAAGGTCTGTGACTTGGGCAGCAGGTACAGGAAGATACAGATGAGCAGCCCTGGAGAGACTAGATCCATGCTTTAGTGGAAGAGAAGGAAACTCCAGGAATTAATGAGACGACATAACAGTGGTTGGGCCATCGCATTCAGGGAGCCTCTAGGTATCATTTATTTATCACAGCCATATTTCAGACACCCTGTATGTTTTATCTCTGATTCCTGCATACTTTTGAATTAAGTAATAATCTACAAACTGAGTATCAGTTTTGAATATCTTAAAACTGCAGTTTTGGCTTAATTGAATACTATATTAAGAATGAGGGGCGCCTGGGTGGCGCAGTCGGTTAAGCGTCCGACTTCAGCCAGGTCACGATCTCGCGGTCCGTGAGTTCGAGCCCCGCGTCGGGCTCTGGGCTGATGGCTCAGAGCCTGGAGCCTGCTTCCGATTCTGTGTCTCCCTCTCTCTCTGCCCCTCCCCCGTTCATGCTCTGTCTCTCTCTGTCCCAAAAAATAAATTAAAAAAAAAAAAAAAAACGTTGAAAAAAAAACAAGAATGAATTTTATTAAGGGGCGCCTGGGTGCCTCAGTCGGTTGGGCGTCAGACTCTTCATTTTGGCTCAGGTCATGATCTCACGGTCTGTGGGTTCAAGCCCCCCATTGGGCTCTGCACTGACAGTACAGAGCCTGCTTGGGATTATCTTTCTCCCTCTCTTTCTGCCTCCTCCCAAATAAATAAATAAATGTTTAAAAAAAAAGAATGAGTTTTATTAAAAGGAAGAAAAGCAATAGGAAATGTCTGTGCCTCATATTTTTTTGTTAATCCTCATATTGGTTTAGTATGAAATAACTACTTAAGTTTTCCAATTGAAACTATCACCAGAATTGTGAGAAAAATATGCTTATTGATTGACTATATTTTAGTATAATATGCTGATTTCATTGAAATTGGCTAATATAATATTATTCTAATTTAGCATCAACTCTACATCTGAATACCAAATGGAGGGTTAAGTATTACTTATAATTGCCATTATAGATTTTAAATAGTGACTACGAGGGGGAGGAGAGACAGGCAGCAAAAGAGCAGGGGTAAGAGAGACAAAAAGAGAAAACTGTTTATTTTTAGGTGATATGTTGGAAGTATTGCCTGATCCTGTTTCAGAGGAGACTTTCAGTTGTGTTTTACGTGTGTGTGTGTGTGTGTGTGTGTGTGTGTGTGTGTGTGTGTGTTAATACAATTTTTATTGCTAAAGAATGCTTGCACAGGTGGCTTGAAAGGAAGAGGTGAAGGGATTTCTGAAGGAGGTTGAGTGGGAATTTGGGATAATTGGCTGGAGAGTAAACAGAGAGCACAGCTTTGGAGATTACTGTGAAAAATTATTCAAAAATCTGAGCAGTTTTTTACTGAAAACTCTGTAGATTTTCATAAAAAGTATGAATATGATAACTTCTTTAACTTGTTTCTTATTAATTTCAAAATCCCACTATAAAATTATCTTTATATATGCAAATATGTTGACTTTATATAATTTATTTCAATAATTTTGAGGTATGGAGATTAACATGCATTCAAAATGATGCCTTGAATTAAGGACGGTGTCCCAATGATGTCCTGAATCGTTTCAGATTGCAACAAATCTTGATGACATGTATCACTTTATGAATGGTACATTTTTTGGTGTTCAGCAAAAAATTTTGTTGAAAGAAAAAAGCCTGTGGGAAATAACTGTGGAATCACTTAGGTACCTGACAGAAAAAGGACTCCTACAAAAAGACACTACTGATAAGTCTGAAGAAGATTTCCAACATAGTTTTCATATTACAAAACTGGGACGAGCTTCTTTTAAGGGTAAGAGTTTCCCTAACTTTCTGAGGAAATGTGCTGGGAAAAAAAATAGAAATTACATCATTCTGTTTCTTTAAATTGGAATTGTAAGTTCATATTAATAACATTAAGTTTATAAACTGTCAAACTACTTTAGCTTTTAAAAGTTGAAAAATACGGGAGCCTGTCTGGCTCAGTTGGTAGAGCATGCGACTCTTGATCTTGGGGTCATGAGTTCTTGCAGGTAGAGCTGACTTTTAAAAAAAGTTTTCTTAGTAAATAAAAAGTTGAATTACAAGTAACTTAGGGCACTGCAGAAGTATTTGAGGGAAAAGATGGTCATCCCCCTTCATACCCCTCTCCCCTAGCAATCATACAAATCTGAATATCCTACCAAGAATAGCAATTTGGTGTATGTCTTTTCAGACATTTTCTGTACATTTCATTTCAAAACATAATATATACATATATACAAATTTAAGATTTTCTTAAGTTTTTGCTTTTAAATAAACAATCATTTGTATTCCAGAATTTGCTTTTTTTGCTTACTATAATGTCTTGGAAATTATTCCATGGTATGACAGTGGATAGTTTTTTCTTAATGGCTACATCATAATTTACTTAATGAAAAATAATACATTTCTATTGTTTAAAAAAATCCTTAGAACTTAGAATGATGTAAAGGAAAATCCCATTCTCCTGACCCATTTCCACTCTCCCAGGGGCAACCTCTGTTAATAATTTGATGTGTATCCTTCCATGTATTATATATAGATTAATATGTGTATGTGTATATATGTGTGTGTGTGTGTGTACATGTGTATAGATTATTTTATGCATCTATTTATGCATATAATTTACATATTATTTTATATTTTATTTTTAAGAATGAAATCATAGCTGGAAGCATTTTTTGGCAATTGCTTTTCTCACTTAAAATATTAGGAGAATCTTAACATGTCAGTCCCTTTAAATATAGCTCATTTTTCTTTTTCTACTGTAATCATCCATACCGTGAATTCTGTAATTTAATTAGCCATTCTCCTGTAGACAGACATTTGCACTGTTTTTTATTTTTTTCAATTATAAACAAAGCTGCAGTGTGCATCTCCATGTATGTATTTTTGGTATGTGTGGAAATGTTTCTCTGGGTTAGATTTCCAAAAACAGAGTAGTTGGTATGTACTTGTTAAATGTTGATATATACGATCAAAATGACCTCCAAATGTGCTGAATTAGTTAAGAAGCAGTTTTGGTGGGGCAGATGGGTGAAATAGGTGAAGGGGATTAAGAGTACACTCATCATGATGAACACCGAGTAATATATAGAATTGTTGAGTCACTACATTGTACCCCTGAAACTAATATAACACAGTTACTATACTGGACTCAAAAAACATTTTTTAAAGAGATTTTAAAGACTTTTTGCTATATTTAGGTAACTTCTAAATAAGACCTTTTTAAAATTCACCTTTTTTCCTCTTTGGCAATTATGAGATATAAATGTGTGTATCTTTCTTTTAGGAACTATAGATTTGGCTTATTGTGACGTTCTCTACAGAGACTTGAAGAAAGGTCTCGAAGGACTTGTACTCGAAAGCCTTCTTCACCTAATTTACCTAACAACTCCCTATGATATGGCTTCTCAGTGTGACCCAGACTGGATGATATACTTCAGGCAGGTGAGAATACAAGGTTCTTCAATATAGACTATTTTATTTATTAATGACGATGTAATTTTTGTTAAGTGATTTCACTTTTTTTTTCTCTGCTAAAATATATATGAAATTGGGCCTTTCATGTTTCAGTTTTTAAAATAGTAATATGGCCATAGCATTTTTGGTTTATTTAACTTAAATAGTACTTTTCTGTTAAATATGAACATGTTCATTACAGAAAAAATAAAGAAAGGTCCAAAAAAGAAAAGAAGATCATCCCTGGTCCCATTCCCCAAAGATAGTTATTGTTATGATTTGGTGACCACTCCATTTTATAATGCCTGGAATGTGGAGAAAATTGTGAAAGTTGTTTTTTGAGAGTTTAATTATATGACAGCTCTATCAGAGCCAGGCATGATGGGTCCAGTGATGTTAACACCTGAGAAGGAATGTCAGTTTTATCACCAATAGCAAGGTGGAACTGATCCTGCTTGTCACAAAAGCAGGTGGTCGAGTATGGTTTGTTACGATTCTACTATAACAGGGCAGAGACATGAACATGTATGAGGCAGAGGCAGTATGTGGCTTTTAATTGCAGGAAATTAGCTTTCTTTTTAATGTCATATTTTTAAATTGTAACTGAGTTGTGTGGTTTTTGTGGGGTTTTTTTGATGTTTATTTATTTTGAGAGAGCGAGGGCACATGCTCATGAGCAGGGGAGGGGCAGAGAGACAGGGAGAAAGAGACTCACAAGCAGGCCTCTCGCTGTCAGCACAGAGCCGGATGTGGGGCTCAGTCTCCCAAACCATGAGATCCTGACCTGAGCCAAAATCAAGAGTCTGGCACTTAAGCCACCGAACCACCCATGCATCCTGTAACTAAGTTTTTTTAAGTGGTACTATACAATGCATTTACTTTCAAAAGCTGAACTCTCTTCTCTCTCTCCCCCAAACATCTCAGTATTAAACATAACCACATAGTCCATATGGAAACCATAGTCCTTGGTCATAGTGCTTGTGACTCTGTCTTTAAATGTTCTACTAATATATGTTATATTTTAATAACATTTTTTGAGCTTGAAATATGTGTTAATAAAATTTGTGTCGTTTTTTCCTATCCTTTAAAACCATGAAAATGTAATATCACAGGAAATACTGGATTTGGTTCAAATGGTGGATTTTTAAAAGTTACAGTTTGATTTTTCTCTATGTTTACTCTTTTTTAATGTAGTTTAGCCAGCTCAGTCCAGCAGAACAAAATGTAGCTGCTCTTCTTGGAGTCTCTGAAAACTTTATTGGGAAGAAAGCATCAGGTCAAGCTATAAAGAAGGTACCATAGTTTTTTTTTCTCTTCCTAAATAAGTTGATTTAACAAAATTAATGCTGTTATATCATCTCTTTTGTTGATTTGATCTTTTTGTTTCATTTTTTTTCTTTAAGTTAATATAATTCCCAGTTTATTTTTTAAAACATTCTCAGGACCAGAAATTTGGGCATTTTTTAAAAATAGTATTTATTTTTGGATGATGTGATGTTCTTTTTTTGTGGGTGTACCTTTGTATTTCTGAAACACTGTCATGCACATATAAGCTTCTTGTCATAGGAGAAAGTAAGCCTTATTTTTCTTAAGCTACTGATGCCTTACATTTTAAAAATTGTAAAATACTTATAAAATGTTTTTATCATAGTATATAATCCTGAAATAAGTTCAGTTCAAGGGAGAAAAAGGTATTTTCTAGAAGCTTTTTTTTTTTTAAATAATCTCTATGCCCAGCATGGGGCTCAAACTCACAACCCCGAGATCAAGAATCAAACACTCTACTGACTGAGCCAGCCACGTGCCCCTCTAGAAACTTTTTTTTTTTTTTTACACCCCTAGAAACTTTTTATTAGGCCTTCTGCTTGGTGTCAGGGCTTCTAAGACAGGATGGGTTTGAGGTTTTTGTTATTGTTGTTTGTTGTCCTTAAAGAACTCCCAGTCTAGTACTTGAAGTATCTTCTGTAGAAGGTTGAAGTGGATAAGTTAATACTTTTTGTGCAATATCTTATACTTTGGGGTTTTGAAGTTTAGTCAACACATATGAAGCAAGTGTCTAATACACTAACTTTAAGAGGAATGGAAATGATTCTCTGGCAAATATACCTTCAAATTCCTTAAGTTAATATCATTTTCCACCTTATAATATCCTTTTTTTCATTTTTAATTTTTTCTGGTAATCCAATCTTTATTGAAACCTAATTATCTTACCTACCATTTCCCCCTATATCTTTGAATTTACATAAATACTACTAATTATATTTGGCAAAGTGAAAGTGGTGTTCACTCACATTTGAATTAACTGATGCCCTGTCTCAGGTACTGCTATATCATAAAATTATAAATATATGTTTCAGTGTTCATGTCATCCCAGTATTTTGATTGGGTCTTTTACCTCAGAAATAGCTACATTGTTTTAAATGTTTAAAATGTTAAATAAAAATATTTCTTAAAACAAACCTTTTATATCCAACTTTAAAATATAAAATGAAAACAAAATCATATTAATTTAGAACTCATTACCAAATAATAAACATTTACAAAATCCTATTAGAATAATACATCTTTTAAAACTTAAATCAGAATTTATTTTTGTTGCATTTTAATGAAACATAGTCAATAAATGTTCAGTTGATTTAAATTCTAGAGAACATATTTACTTAAAATCGACTTTCTCCACATTGAAAATGACATCTCCACCTTTCTTTACACATTTCTTGTAAAAGATCTTGAAATTGGCATAAAACATCTTATCTTACCATGTAATATAATTATATCACTTTTCTTGGCTTAGAAAATCCATTCTAAGCAAAATCTACTTTGACTCAAATTATAGTTAATAATGAAGGTGCACTAAAATTGGAAATTAAAAAGCAATCTCTCCCTACTGGCAATTCAGCTATCATGATTTTTCAGCTTAATGCTTTTTAAAAGGTGATCCAGTATCAACATGCAGAATCTGTAATTCATGCAGCCTTCGATATGCCACCCTAAGTTCTCATCCCAAACATTCTTTTATTATCATAGAGGATATCATTTTATATTTTATACTGACTTTTTCTCTCTCAAGTTCATCCTTTCTTTACTCTGATTTTAAGCATGAGCTACTCAGTTTCTAAGGTAGCTTGATATTGACTATGAAATACTTTACACATGAACTGGTCCCTAGACACCATAGGCAAAAGCAGGTACACAAATTGTCAACTGTAGGAGGCGTTTTTCTCTGTCAGTGTTTTAACTTTGGAAACATTAATTATCATAACCATGTGGAAATCATAGAATCCACCATTTACTCTTAGTTTACAATGTGGACAACTTATTAACATACCTTTCTAAATAAATGCATTTGTCTAATCACTTTCACACATATATACAACCTACAAATAGCACAGTAAATGTAAAAGCCTTCCCAACTCCTTCCCTTCCTGTACTTTTTTCCTAGGGCTACTGTAACAATTAGCACAAACTCAGTGTGTTAAAACAAGAGAAATTTATTCTCTCACAGTTCAGGAGGCCAGACATCTGAAATCAAGATGGCTCCTTCTGGAGGCACTGAGGAAGAAAACATCTTTCCTGTCTCCTAGCTTTTGGTGGTTGCTGGCAATCTGTGGCATCCCTTGGCTTGTAAATGCATCCCCCAACCCAGTGTCTCCGTTGGACAGTGCCATCTTCACATTGCCTTCTTGTCTGTGTCACTCTGTTTCCACTCCTCTTTATAAAGACACCAGTCGGGGCGCCTGGGTGGCTCAGTCGGTTGGGCGGCCGACTTCAGCTCAGGTCATGATCTCGTGGTCCGTGAGTTCGAGCCCCGCGTTGGGCTCTGTGCTGACAGCTCAGAGCCTGGAGCCTGTTTCGGATTCTGTGTCTCCCTCTCTCTGACCCTCCCCCATTCATGCTCTGTCTCTCTCTATCTCAAAAATAAATAAACGTTATAAAGACACCAGTCATTGAATACAAAGCCCCAAAGGTAGTCTACCGTAAATCCAGGATGATTTCATCTCAAGATCTTTAACTAATTACATCTGCAAACATCCTATTTCCAAATAACATCACATTCACAGGTACCACAGGTTAGGACTTAAACATATCTTTTGGGGGGGGGGGGCAGGGAACAAACACAGTCCAGCCCACTCCACCTTCCCTGTAGAAGGAAGTTTAAATTGGAAATAATTTGGCACATTTCTTTTTTTTATACATGGAAAAATGGTAATTTGAATTACTATAAAGTACATATGTTAGAACTTAGTTTTATTTCTGTGGAATCATTCTATTCTTACTTTCCTGTAGTGTAACTTCATTCCCATTACCTTTGTCCAATTTCAATATAATGTACATTTTTAGCAGGTCCAGTACATAAATTTATTTGATTGTGTCTTTCTAGAAGGTGGACAAGGACATTGTCAACAGACTATACCTGTCTTTTGTTCTTTATGCCCTGCTCAAAGAGACCAACATTTGGAGTGTGTCTGAAAAATTTAACATGCCTCGAGGATATATACAGAGTCTTCTTACTGGAGCTGCCACGTTCTCCTCTTGTGTGCTACATTTCTGTGAGGTAATTCTATTAAACAGATGACACATGCTTTGTGCATCTTTTTGTTTTAACTGCTACCAAACTCATAAACCATTTGTCATTATTTTCTCATTGTTGACTTATACTTGTTTTTATCTGCTTAAAAAGTACTATATATACTAGCTTATAGTAAAGATACAAAAATGACAAAATCAACTAAAATATATAGTGAACAAGTAGAAAGCACCTAGTTATCCCTACTCTTAGAACCACTGTTAATAGTTACAAGTATTTGGGGGCGCCTGGGTGGCTCATTGGGTTGAGCATCTGACTCTTGGTTTCGGCTCAGGTCATGATCTTACAGTTTGTGGGTTCGAGCCCCATGTAGGGCTCTGCTCTAACAACGCAGAGACTGCCTGGGATTTTCTCTCTCTTCCTCTCTCTCTGCCCCTCCCCCAATCGCTCTCTGTCTCTCTGTCTCTCAAAATAAATAAATAAACTTAAAAAAAGTTAAAGGGGTGCTCGGTGGCTCAGTTGGTTAAGCGTCTGCTTCGGCTCAGGTCATGATCTCACAGTCTGTGAGTTCGAGCCCTGCCTCACACTGTGCTCACAACTTACAGCCTGGAGCCTGCTTTGGATTCTGTGGCTCCCTCTATCTCTGCCCCTCCCCCACTCACACTCACTCTCTGTCTCTCTCTCTCTCAAAAAATAAAAATAAACATTAAAAAAATTTTTTAATAGTTACAAGTATTTGAAATCAACTTTTAAAACAACAATTCTCCATTGATGTAGAATCTGTGGGAGAATCCTTCTCATGAGTGATAACCATGTAAAGTATTTCATTAGTGTGTTACCAATATCCGGCAGCTACTTTGTGACTCTGTGGGACCATGCTCTCTTGATTTCCATAGTATTTTGTCATTTTTGATTCCAGCATTTGGCAGCTGCTTTAGGTTTCTATGTCAAGTGTTTAGTTTATAAGATAATTCAAGAAGAAAGCTATTTTGGCCATATGCATTTGGGTGACTTTCCTAAAAGAAGCTTTCAGAGTGTCCTTAAATAACACAACAAAGCTTATCAGATTTTTCTTCTTGGATAATTTTTTTGATGAATTTATAATATAAGCCTTTTTTTGCTCATTTAAATTTCTTCTAATTGAGCAGTGTAATAATCCTTTCCGTATTTGTTCCTATACTCAATTTTTTAAAAACATTTTCCTCCCATGAATTTTATTTATTTTTTAAAGTATATATGTTTTGGTTTTTTAAAAAGTTTATTATTTTGAGAGAGAAAGAGAGAGCATGAGAGTGATTGGGGGAGGGACAGAGAGGGAGGGAGAGAGAGAATCCCAAGCAGGCTCCACACCATGAGCACACAGCCCGATGCAGGGATTGAATTCATGAACCATGAGATTGTGACCTGAGCCAAATCGAGTGTCGGACACTTAACCGATTAAGCCAATCAGCTGCCCCATGAATTTTATTTTTAAGTTTAAAATCTTCACTTTCCCCATCTTAAATCCCCATATTCTGTGTATGTATAATGGCAATTAACTCTATAATACGTACTAATGAGTAAATAATCCAAAATACTTGACTTTGGGGTGAATGATAATTATTTTAGCAAATTCACATTTCTAAATATCTCCTACTTATGCTGAGTTTTAGATATTAGCTCACATTCTCTAATCACATGCTAGCTAAGCTATAGACAAAAACTATGGGTAATAAGGAGAGGCTAGCCTTTAAAATGTGTTTTCTTGAGTTTTCTATGTTTGTTGTTCTTCGTATATAAAGGTACTTCCCCTAATATTCCATCCTTAGTTTACTTAGGACTATAAGGACTTCAGCTGCATAGAAGTGTTCAAGTAAAAGAATCTATACATTGAACTTGAAAAACAACTATAATTGGATGTTTGATCCTGGAAACAATCTACCTGACAACTTGTGCTCTCATGAGTGTATTTTCAGTATTTTAAAGTGTTTTTTTTTTTTTCTATTTAAAAAGTTACGTAAGTAGTATAAAATCAATAGTATTAGCTAAGGCACCTTTAACTACAAGTAATGGGAAAGCCCAATAAAGTTTAGTGAGGAAGAAAGATTATCAAATGTAACAGGAAAGCTAGAGCAAAGGCGGTGCCAGGGTTTCTGGATCCTAGTTCTGTCCAAGGTTTTCTTCTCTTCACTGTGTCATCTTTAGTGCACGGACTGCTTTTCTAGGGACCACAAAATAGCCAGCTAATGCTGTTCCATGTATCACATGTGCTCACAATGACACTCCAAGGTTGGAAAGTGACCTTTAAAAAAAAACTATTCTAGAAAATCTCAAACATAAAATTAGACAATGTAATAAATACCCACCCAGCTTTAAGTTATTGACCCAGGGTTTCCATTATTTTTATTGTCTTAAATATTGCTTCTGATATTTTTGCTGCTTTAAATATTGCTGCATCTTGCATCAGAATTCTTCCACATGTAATATTCTGTCTACAGGATAAATTCCCAGAGGTAGGAATTGTTTTCAGTCATTTGGGAAAGAAAAACTATCCATTCACTCGCTGGTGTTTTGATAAAAATGAACAGAACTCTTCTTACTGACCTATTTTTCAGTTTTTAATCTTCTTCCTTATCCCAAAACCACTTCATCAGATTCCTCTGTCTCTGCAGTGTTTCTTTAGAATAATTTTGCCTGGAATTATTGTTCATCTCCGGCTTACCCCAAGTTTCAGAACTTACATAAGGAAACATCCTCTCTGAGCCCATTACCACACCAACCAAACTTTGAAATAACTTGCCAGATTTAAATTAATTCTGTATGTTTCTTTGTGTTCTGCAGGAACTTGAGGAGTTTTGGGTTTATAAAGCCCTTTTGGTAGAACTTACCAAGAAGTTGACTTACTGTGTAAAGGCAGAGCTCATTCCCCTCATGGAAGTGACTGGAGTTTTAGAGGTTAGTAGCTTCCCATCCCAGTTTCCCAACTGGGATGATTTCAACTAACAGGAAAATCAGATTTTACTCTTTTGTGAAGTGTTATCATGAGGTAAGTCATAATAACGGACTTATTCCTCATTTGCCATGAGAGTTGATTGTTTTTCTTTTTAAATAAATTGCTGCCATGGCCTCCCAGAAATCCACTGTTAATCTGGCAGCAGCCCTGATGAAAAATCACATTTCTGAAAATAGAGTAACAGTAGGGCTAAAACTGATACTCCCCAAGTATATGTGTGCTTCCATTCGTCCTTAGCATCTCTCCCTTCCTCCACTCTAATGACGAATTACCTTCTGTCAGGTTAGACTAGATGCTTGTTTCAGGAAGGGGAGATTTGGTGGCAACAAGGCTGGTTTCCGTTTCCTAAGAGGGTGAGAAGAAAGCATCCTCAGCTGGTTTCTCAGCTCTGTGTTTTTAACCAACTCTTGGTTTCAGCTTATTCTGTTATTCAACCGGAAGCATTCTTCTGCTCGGGAACACACACGCGCGTGCGCGCGCACACACACCCCAGTGGTCCCCTGAGTAGATAGTGAACACATTTTAAGGCTGTTGGACTAGAACATGTTGATGGGGAGTCTGAACCAGTGCCCCTCACCTGAGTGCCTTAATGGGTTTCTCATTCCTGACTGCAACACACATCAGTTGACTTAAGCCACACAGAAAGCTATCTTGCAGTTTGGAACCACCCAAATCCATCTTTTAAAATTTCTCAGGGTTCTGTTGTGTTATCTCTTCATATTTACTTTATTACCTTCGTCTGTTTCTGTCTCTTGCATGTGAAATTTTTCCCTTCAGCAAGACACTTAATTGTTTTTCCTAATCCCAAATTCTGATCCTACTGATTTTTGTAATACCTTTTAGGGTCGAGCAAAACAGTTGTACAATGCAGGTTATAAAAGTCTAACGCACTTAGCTAATGCAAATCCTGAAGTGCTAATAAGAACAATCGATCATTTATCAAGACGCCAGGCCAAGCAAATTGTTTCATCAGCAAAGGTAAGCAAACAAACCATTTTTTTAACCTTCATGATATTTTGTAGTGTTATCGCCTTATACTTTGGACATAAAAACAAAAACATTTAACTACAAGACACAAAGGCATATACTCACAATATGTGGATAAAAACTGTGCAAGGCTTCCTAAAAAGGAAAAAGACCTCCTGAAAATTAGACAATCTCAAGAGTTCACTGAAGTACAAGGAAGGCTGGATCTCACGGAGTTCTGCCTCCTCATCTTTTTTCACAGAAGTCCTTTCCTCAGCATCCCCGACATCTGGCCTTCCCACTTTGAGCACCTACATTGACATGGAGCTTACAACCTCAAAAATTAGGCAGTTCTATTTTTGGACACTTGTAGTGTTACAAAAAGCATCTCAAGATAATGAGGCTAAATGTTGCCTGCTTACAATGTCTACCATTACATTGTAAGTACTACCCTCTAGAACTGTTCTGTTATCTTTGTTCATATGGTGGTTTTTCACATATTTGAAAACAGCTCTCTTTGCCTCCAAAGGTTTCTCTTTTCTGTTTCTTTCATCCATATTAAATAATCTTGTTTCAGGTGATTTACTATCCTACTTACCCTTTTCTAGATGTAGGCCAATTTGTCTTGTTGACCTGTCCCCATCGTTATAGGACTTTCTGATTTTGGGGGGTATATCTGTCAGGCTCTAATTATTAGGAACGGAAACCACACAGTAATTTGAAGAGGAACATTTAAAATAAAGAATTAGTAACTAGTACCAAAGATTACTGGTTGCTTTCTAAGGGGTAAACAGAACTTCAACAAACATGGGAAGGAATCATGAGGAGCATGTTCACCCTCACGTGACACCACCCCCTGGGGATGGGATTCAGACTTCATTGGAGAGGGTGTGGCTGTGGCTCACTGGACAGCAGATAAGTTCCTTCGTTGTGTTGCAGCCGATGCTGGCAAGCAGGAAACTGCCGGCTGGATGCTGACAAAACTGTCCAGACACTCCCAAGGGTGTGCTGTTGAACTTGCTTGGAAACTAGCTTGAGTAACCATGATCTCAGGGCCATGAGTTCAAGCCCCACATCAGGCTGTGCACTGACAGTGCAGAGTCTGCTTGGGATTCTCTCTCTCCCTCCCTCTCTGCCCCTTCCCCACTGGTTCTCTTTCTCTCTCTCTCTCTCTCTCTCTGTGTGTCTGTCTCTCTCTCAAAAACTTAGTGGCTTAAAACAGCTATTTTATTTTGCTTATGTTTCCAGAATCCTAATTCTGGAAAGGTTTAGCAGCATGATTTGCACTTGGAGTCTCATGCAATTACAGTCAGATTTTGACTGGGGCTGTAGTCATCTGAAGGCTTGACTGAATTGGAAATCCAAGATGGCGCATTCACTTGGCTGGCAGTTGAAAAGTGGCTGTTATCTGGGGCTTTCAACTGGAACAGCTACATATGGCCTTTCCATGAGGCTTGGTTTTGTTATAGCATGGCAGCTCAGTTTCAAGAGGAAATGTCCAGAGAGTGAACATTTCAAGAGATCGAGGCAGAAAAAGCAGACGTCTTCTGAACTAACCTCGGAAGTTGTGTAGTGTCACTTTTGCTGTATATTGTTTGTTACTAGAAGGCCATTAAGATCAGTCCAGATTGAAAGGAAGAGGAATTAGACCCCACCTGTACAAGAGGGGAGTGCCAGATAATCTGCAGTCATCTGTAATGTCTGCTCTCTGGTCACAGATAATTTACATTTCTCTCACATGCAAAATATACTCATCCCTACAAGATTTATTCCTTTATGGCATCAGACTCAGGCTCAAGGTCTAATATTCTAAATCAAGTCTAGGTGCAGGTGATGTTCCTTGAGCACAATTTCACCAACAGATTCCTGGGGCACCTGGGTGGCTCAGTCAGTTAAGCGTCTGGCTCTTGACTTTGGCTCAGGTCATGATCTCACAGTTCGTGAATTCAAACCCTGAGTCAGGCTCTGCACTGACACTGTGGAGCCTGCTTGAGATTCTCTCTCTCTCCCTCTCTCTCTGCCCCTCCCTTGCTCGTGCTCTCTCTCTCTCTCTCTCAAAATAAATAAGCTAAAAAAAAAAAATTGTAAAAAAAAAATGGTTCTGCTGGAAATTGGCAGGTATTTTTAACTACAAGTAATTTGAAGCTGATGGTGTTCTCTGTATTCTAGTAATGCTGACACGTGAGTTTTGGGCAGTTTACTTGGTCTTGTTGATCTGTATGGTTTTTAGAGGATCTATTGGGAGATTAGTTTTACGTGGTCACCATTACCTCAGCTACTGGAAAGCTTACCTGATTGCATTTTAATCTCCTCTGTATATAATGCTATGTAATGCCACGCTTGGAGTGGGTTTGTCGTATGATTTTTTCCTCCACGTGATTTTGCAGAACTTTTTATTATAAAACTTCTGTAACAGAAGTGATGCAAATACTACACCCCAGTATACACAAAACCCAGCTGCACAAATACCAACACTCGATTTCTGGGCTTTTGTTCTTAAAGTTGTTGTTGTTTGGGTTTTGGTTTTGGGTTTTTTTTTTTTTTTTAAATGATGTCTATACCCACTTACAACCCCAAGATCAAGAATTGCACGTTCTACTGGCTGAGCCAGCCAGGCGCCCCTACTTGTAGTTTTTAAAAGAAAGAGGGAAAATCATTACTCAGCAAATATTCACTGACGTTTACTATGCGCCACGTTTAGAACTACTTTCTTGGCTCTTTATGTTTCTTTTGAAATTAGCCATGTTAATTTTAGGAGCTTGAATAAAATTTTTCTTTGAAACACTGATAGGTTTTTAAAAGATAGCATACTAAACTTTGAGGAATAATAAAAAGCATATATAAAGGATAACATTTTCAAGAGCTAATTAAATTTTTGCAAAATTGTCTTACATTTTATAGATTAAAAGTTAATTTTTAAGTGGCTGAGTCTTCAATAAAACAAATCTTTGAGGGTCTTAAACCTCCTTTATTTTTGGTGTACCAAATGCAGTGCTCAGCTAAAATGGCTTTAACTCAATGCCTCAGCTTCATTTACTATAATCACTTGTTCTTAAGTGGCTATTTTTCAGTCTCATTATTAGTTTTAATGTCTACATCGCTGATGTATTAAGATTCAAGTATCTAATAGACGGTGGTAAAAATGTTCACAATTCTCTGGCAATGCATATTTTGGTCTCATGCCTTGATTTTTTATTGCAGATGCTGTTGCACGAAAAAGCAGAGGCTTTGCAAGAAGAAGTGGAAGAGTTGCTGAGATTGCCTTCTGATTTCCCCGGAATTACCTCTTCCACCGAGAAGGCATGAAGCCATCTGACAAGCATTTTCTAAGATGACTGACTTAGTAGACATATTTTTCTTAAAGACTCTCTATAATTTAAAAATGAAAAAATACATTTTAATTATACATTAAGAACTGTGGATGATGTTTGAATATACCTCTCACCCTTCCCACTAATAATCCATCTTCTTCGATACCTGCACGTTATTTCTCTGCTCAAAAATCTAGTGTCCTCCACAAAATGAGATCCAATTGCCTCAGCATATCTCCGGCCTGCCTTTGCTGCTAGACCTTTTATTATTCTCTTAATACCTCCTTTCATCAAACTGGACTAAATCCCAAAATTTTCCCACGATTTCCAAACTCTTCCTTTCCTAATTGCTTTAATGCTATACCCAGTGCATCTTTAATATGTACGGTATGCCCCAGCTGTCAACTAAAGATGCGCAAACACTGCCTCCTGGCTGAAATTGTCCAAGTACGTCCTGATCCCCACCCCATCCATGCTTCTTTCCCTCCTGTAAGTATTCTGAGCCTTTCATTATGCCCACGTCCTTTTTCATACTGGTAGTTTGAAACCTCCTGGAGGACCAAGACCTTTTTTATCTTCTTTGGATGCCACCCGGCACTTAAGCCCAGTGTCACACACCAAGTAGGAACCTGTGCTAAGAATGAGTACTACCCGAATTAACAATTCAAAGATTCTCTTTAAACACAACTTAAGTCGCTCCTCATCAGGGAAATACAAATCAAAACCACACTCAGGTATCACCTCACACCAGTCAGGCCAAATGGAAAAATCAGGAGACTATAGGATGCTGGCGAGGATGCCTGGAGAAACGGGAACCCCTCTTGCACTGTTGGTGAATGCAAATGGTGAGCCCTGGAAAGCGTGTGGGAGGTTCCCAAAATTAAAATAGGTTCCACCCTATGACCCAGCAAGTAGCACTGCTAGGAATTTACCCAGGATACAGGAGTATTCGATGCATAGGGGCACTGACCATCTAATGTTCATAGCAGCAACTCAAATAAAAATTATGAAAGAGCTTCCATAATGTCATCAGAATGGATAAAGAAGTTGTGGTTTATATAATACTGGAGTGACTACATGGGCAAATGAGAAAGAATGAATATCTGCCCTTTGTAGCAACGCGGATGGAACTGGAGAGTGTGACTAGTGAAATAAGCTCATACAGAGAGACAGATACCATATGTTTTTACCTCTTAGTGGATCCTGGAGAAACTTAAGAACCAATGGGGGGAGGGGAAGGAGAAAAAAAATATTACAGAGTGGGGCCAAAAGAGACTAACATGAGGCCGGGCAAGGGGTTGCCCCACAATCTGCCTGGAGCGACCGTCCAGATTCGACCACCGGTCGCATAGTATCTGAGTTTAATCTTGTCTTCTGTCCCAAGCTGCGCGTCCAAAATACAGCTAAAAAAATTAAAAAAAAATGGATTGAGGGGTGAGGAGGTGATGGATTGAGGGGCATCTTTGGGATGAGACTGGTGCTTGTATGGAAACCAATTTGACAATAAACTTCATATATTGAAATAAATAAATAAATAAACACAACTTAAACATCACCTGTCTCCCATCCCTTGTTAGATTTATAGCTCCTAAGTCATAGCTGGTTATCTGTAGGAAAAAAGGTAGTAAGTAGCAATGATTCTTTTTCCTTCTAGCTTTTTTTTTTTTTTTACTGTTTATTTATTTTTGAGAGAAAGACAGAGCATGAGCAGGGGCAGAGAGAGAGGGAGACACAGAATCTGGAGCAGGCTCCAGGCTCCAAACTGTCAGCACAGAGCTGAGCGCAAGGGGCTCCGAACCATGAACTGTGAGATCATGACCTGAGTAGAGGTTGGAGGCTTAACTGACTGAGCCACCCAGGCACCCCTAGCAATGATTTGGAGTAACGGACCAGTTTAAAGTTTTATTCACCTGAGCCATCCATTGGAAACTTTGCAAAAAGACCCACATTCTAAGTTCTTCGTGCCTTAACATCTTCGACTATTTTAAGTCATTTACCTAGTAATTTCTATGTGCCAAGTACGTTGTAAGTCTTTCATGTGACTAATTTAATCCTAACAACAACACTGTATGGCTCATACTATTATTTCCATGTCCATGAGTAAATGGACACAGAGAAAACAACTTTCCCACGGAAACTGGAAGTTTGAAGCCCTAACTCTGAGGAGTTTCACAAGCCATCTAGTCTATGGCATCTTCCCAAACTTTGTTTTTCTTTTTTTAATGTTTATTATTTATTTCTGAGACAGAGAGAGAGAGAGAGAGAGAGACGGAGTGTGAGTGGGGGAGAGTTTAACAGGAAGACACAGAATCTGAAGCAGGCTCCATGCTCCTAACTGTCAGCACGGATCCTGACATGGGGCTCGAACTCATGACCATGAGATCATGACCTGAGCCGAAGGTGGATGCCCAGCCGACTGAGCCACCCAGGCACCCCTTTTTTTCTCTCTTGAATGGGCATAAAGTGTGTTATCATAATTAAGAGATCTGTGTACAGCTATGAAAATGTAGGCTAATAACAATGTAAATGTAAAAGCCTAGCTGTTACAATGCTACATGCTAAATGATTGTCTTTTTTTTTTTTTTTTTTTCAACGTTTTTTATTTTTGGGACAGAGAGAGACAGAGCATGAACGGGGGAGGGTCAGAGAGAGAGGGAGACACAGAATCTGAAACAGGCTCCAGGCTCCGAGCCATCAGCCCAGAGCCCGACGCGGGGCTCGAACTCACGGACCGCGAGATCGTGACCTGGCTGAAGTCGGACACTTAACCGACTGCACCACCCAGGCGCCCCTAAATGATTGTCTTTTTATAGTATTGCCTGATCACACACAAAATTGGAAAAACTCCACAGGCAATAGACTGTCTACTCCATGTAGGGTGCAGTAACAGGCATTTGATTCTGTGTAACTTTGTAAGCACTCTGAGCATTATAATAACAGCCCACTGCCCATCCTAGAAGCTATGAAGGAATTCAACCTCATTTTGTTGAGATTTGTCAAAGCTGTTCGAAAGCTCAATGAAAATATCTAAATGCATTTAACTGATGGGTTTCAATATACTTAGCCTGATGCTTGACATGGATGGAAAACAAAAGGTGGAATGTTCTCGGTCCTTGTTTCTTACACAGTTACATGAACCGTGAGCCACTGACGGTAACAGAATGAGACAGTGTACCAAAGATAAATGCTTAAAGGCACTAGAGGCAGAGAAGGGGAGGTGGAGTTTTTGAGAAAGACCTGGTGAAAGAGGCAGACCATGAGCTAGATGCTAAAAGGGCAAGGCAATTGGGAATGTCTAACACAGAGGGACAAGGGCGTTTGGCGGATGGCAGACATGAAGGTGGTCTTCTAGCTGAGTGAAGGCTGCAAGCCACACCATCTGGATATCTGAGCTCTTAAAGCAGTAATGAGATACCAAAAAACAAACAAAAAAAACAAAGCCAGCAGTAAATGGTTTGTGCTGGGCCATCTCTACTTTCTAATCTGGTGTCTCTCCTGATCCACTAGAGGCACTCTTGAAACATCTGATAGGGGGGCGCCTGGGTGGCTCAGTTGGTTGAGCGTCAGTTGGTTGAGCGTCCGACTTCAGCTCAGGTCGTGATCTCGCGGTCCGTGAGTTCAAGCCCCGCGTCGGGCTCTGGGCTGACAGCTCGGAGCCTGGAACCTGCTTCAGATTCTGTGTCTCCCTCTCTCTCTGACCCTCCCCCGTTCATGCTCTGTCTCTCTCTGTCTCAAAAATAAATAAACATTAAAAAAAATTTTTAAAAAAGAAACACCTGATAGAGGTGTGCGCCTGCAGCCACAATATGGACAGAGCCATATAGAGATCAAGTTCATAACCTTAGCCTTGTTAGCACTGCGATCTAACAACCCTTGCTCCCTAGGGCAAGAACATGTGGATTTGACTGTAGCAGGATTCTCGCACAGAGAATCATGACACCAAGGCTTTTTTTTTTTTTTTTCCCCAGGAAGCAACTCTTTTCTTGCTGGTAGGGCTCAGTTGGGTCCACTGAAGAACTGAGCCCTGAATGCCACGTGGCGTAGTATTTTATACATTTTCTATTTCTTTGTCTCTCATATATGCTAACACACAAACATGCGGCCTGATTAGGTGGTCTCATGTTACAAGGTCGTGAGGGATGTTGTCATACATATATGCATATAGCCAGGTTGCCTTGAAGTTTTTTTTTCTCCCCTCAGGGAGGGGATCCTACCACCTGACCTTTGTCAAAGATAAGCTGGCCGCTAGTTGAAGTGGCAAGGATTGACTTTATTCATTAATAACCACTGCAGTGGGGAAGAGGGCCCGTGTGAACTGAGCTCAACTTCTATCCATGCAGAGGTGACAGACGTATTAAAGCCAGAATGAAGGAGTAAGCAGGGGACCAAGCTGGGGTCCCAGCAGACTGGGATTACTCACTCTTGGGTGCTTATCTGGAGGAGAAGCAAACTCCTAGTATCTTTGTGACAGGAGGTAGTGGTGCAAGTTAGAGCAAGCCGCCCAGTGCCTGGGAGGGAGAGCCTGAGTTGTTTACCTGCCGGTTTGCTTTTCCACAGCTCTGGGTTCTTGAGCCTGCAGCTCTGGGTGGTGGAACGTCTGCATCTCAAAGCTGGAAAGAAAGGATTTACAACTGCAAGCTTTCTAAAGTAGCTGTTTTGGGTGGGGGTGTTCCTGGGGCCTCTTTGTTACCAGGTTTGGGGCTGGAACAGGAATTCCTCAGGTAGATATTTTAGTATATGTGCTGCCGAAGCGAGCACCCTCAGGTAGATATTTTAAAGGGGGTTGGGGTCATCCTAAGCATGCAGCTTCCAGCAATTAGAAACTATGTGTATATTCAAGTCTGTTGGCAGGGGCTTCTGGGGGGCTGGGAAATGGATGGAATCATTTGTGCTGGGAGCCTGCAGGTTCTAGAGGTCAAAGTCCAGGCCTGGTCAAAAAGAGAGCTCAGAGGAGCCTGTCTAAAGCATGGTCAAGGAGAGGATCTTTATCGCTCT